TGAAATGTAAAGTGGGTGCACCACGCGTTTTCGGTTTAAGCCATAGCGCTTCTGATCCGGCCAAAGTCGCCTCGTTGCATGGTTTTGAGAGAGAATAACATGCTTTACTTTGAAAAACATATCCACATTTTCGGGAAAAATGGTTCCATTCACTAAGGCCACGGGATAAGGTAGCAAACTGTTCAAAAATCTAGATGTTTACATAAAATGCACATCTGTTATGTAGAGAGGTCTAATCTCCTCTTCTGGACTTCCGTTTCTTTACACGTGAGGTAGCGTTTTAGGGATGGCAGTACAGAGTGCTGATATACATATATGTGGCAGAACAGGTGTCAGAAGCGTTGGCGCATAGAACAGGAAGACTTTGCAGCCAAACATGCTGCGTTTTAAACGGAACACATCATGTGTGGCAGGCGTAGTTGAACCGTTCACCTACGTCAGCCACCGTCTACTATCATATTAAATTGATTCACGCGAAATTCAGTGACCCTCCAGTGCCCTGCTGTGGAGCACACGGTGAACATTGTTAAAGTCGACGGTCGAACTGTCGTGATGGAGGAGAGAGTGCGCTATGCTATCATGTGCAAGTCACCGTATCTGCGCCCAGTTTACTGCGGTGTACACGGTGGACATCATCGGTAAAGACGACTGAACTAGCATATGCCTAAATTTACTTGAATTCTGGTTTATTGTATATTTTTTGTGCTTTTAGGAAGATAAAAGCGGGCGTCTGCCGTCTAATCGATTGCTGAAAAATATATAACTAAAGATTAAACTTATAATATTTGCGTGCCCCTTGTCAACAGCGCGATCATATTCAGAACGTACGCTTACATTCCTTTCAGGTTACATGTCTGGCTGAGGAGATTGGTGAAATCGAATTTATCTTCCGCGTCCTGGTCTACGGTGGACAACCAATATTGATCAGGATGTCCGGTGTTGTGGTCATGCCAAAATTGGAAATTTTCCCGCAAATTCTGAACTTCGCAGGTATGTCTTGATGAACTTTTATACCTCCACAACAGAACCATTTTGTTTTCCCTCCGTCAGGTATAACATAACCTTTTCGATGTTAAAAGATTTAAATCTGGGAACATCTGCCCAGATCTTCCAAGAAATCAATGTTTTTCTGAGTTCTAACAATTAACTTTCACATACCAGGCCAGCAATGTGTTAAGTCATTCCATGAAACGATTATCGTTCGATGAAGCATATCACAGGAGAGACTTCGAGTGTTCTAATTATTTTTGTTGTGAGAAATTCTGGCCAAGTGTATGCTGTGACTAGATAATATGTGATTGCGTTCATTGGAACGTGGTCCCACGTTGGGAAAACTGGTATTCGTGCCGCTGCCCCTAGCTACTTTTTGCTTTGTTAGAAATCTGTTGAAGGGCTTGTTGTTAACCAGGGGACGTGGTGGCACGTTTAGGTGTGGATGTTGTCTGTGACAACCATCTGCGTCCTCTCCCACCATCGGTATTTTTGATTCTGTAACGTTACCGGGCTCACGTGGAAGAAGAGGAGAGGGTGTGATAGATGCACTGCAAGTACACTATGGCTATCATTAAGTACGCGCGCAAGTCATTGGCGCCAGGTGCACTGTGTGAGACAGTAATGGGCATTGTCTATTCTGGTGATTGAACTATCATTCCCCTTGACGGGATAAAGGAGAAATCTACTATGCGATTTCATGAAATCCGGCCAACTTTACAGAAGGAGGTCTCCGATATTATAACGACGGGTTCTGCGTCGCCAGTGTTATAACGGTGACATCTGACGTGTGTCACCGTCGAATTACGCCCTTTGGAATCCCAACGAAAAACACAATCAGAAGGGCATAATTCTGGAATCAACTCGGAGGAGGGTTTAATGTGTACAAAATCCGGAGTTGTTGTCTTGGGTGGCTGTTGCCGCTGGTTGATCTCCAGCGTGCTGATGTCCCGCCTCGGGGTTAAGCCCCGGCATTAGGAGCGGACTAGCGTATCTTCGTAGTCCGATGTGTGATGCAACTCCCCTG